TGGAGTGACTGATGACCGTTATGTTTAAATATTCAAGGACGTTATGATAGAAGTGAACCGTTATGTTTAAATATTAAAAGACGTTATGATAAAAGTGAGCCGTTATATTTAAATACCCAAAGACGTTATGATAAAAGTGAGCCGTTATGTTTAAATATCCAAAGACGTTATGATAAAAGTCAAAGATGCCTTTGAGTTTATTTCATTTAACTTGCAGTATATCTGGTTCACTTGAGCTAAATACATGTGGATTGTGAAGGTTAAATATATTTTGAAGCTTGGCGAGTTTAAATACACAGACGTTCCATTCGTGTAGTTTACTGTAACTATTTTCGTCTTATTCTTTTTGTTATCAATTTTACTGTGTACTCTCCCTCTTAATATCATTCCCTTTGTTCCGATTATTTTTTTTTCTCTGTTTTTATCTTCATTCTCGTTTTCATCTTCGTTCTCGCTTTCTTCTTTTCATTTTCTAATTATTATCTTTACCATTATCATTATTATTATCTTTATCAATATCATTACTATTATTATTATCTTTATCAATATTATTACTATTATTATCATCAGTATTATCCTTATTACTATTTTCATTATTATTGCTATTATTATTATTATTATTATTATTAATATTATATATATCATCATCATCATCATCATCATCATTATCATCATCAGCATTCATCATTATTCCTCGTTTTAATCATATTCTTCATCTTTAGCCTCCTCACCCTCGTACTCCTTTTCATCTTCTTCCTCGTTTTCATCATCGTGATTATCTTCCTTCCTCTGGCTCCTCCTCCTACTCATCATCATCATCACCATCATCCTATTTTCATTCTCCTCCTTTCTTGCCTCACCATTAATATCATCCCACTTCCATTATTCTCTTTCTTTCTTCTCTCTTCACCATCATTCCACTTTCATTACTCTCCTCCTTCCTCTCCTTAACCGTGATCTTGAATATGCGGAACTGGAAGCAAGCGACGAAATCCTCTCTCACCCGAAGCGAAAGAGTCACTGAGTTCGAATGACCTTGTGACGCGGCAATCAGGTTCGGCGGGAAAGCAATGCTGAGTCATGGGGAAGGATACGAACGCAAAAATTTTAAGTGTGTTGGTTTTTTTCTGTATAAATACGTTTTTGTGTGTGTGTGTTTTGTGTGTTTTCTTTTTTTTTTTTTTTTTTTTTTTTGGTTTTAATGATTCGATGTCGACGTTCTTGTGTTTTATTGTTGTCGTTTTTGTTATCGTGATTATCATGTACTTTCTTTTATATTGGAATTTGTTGTGCTTATTTAAGTAAATTATATATTTCATTCATTTCACTGTTGCCGTCATTTTTTCGTCCTTTGGAGAGTTCGTCTGTTGATCACCTTATGCCTTTCAACAATCAGCAATAAATGAATGGATGTAAATTGTAGGCAACTCAGAGTTTTACCGTATGTGATAAAAGTGTTTTCAAGCATCAAACTCATACTATTATAATTATAACTTGCAAAAGCTCAACACCTGGTATGGGTATTGTCAATTATCGACTTTGTTTCGTGATTAGAAAGTACGAATATTGCAAGTGTGAAGTCAAATTAAATTACAGTAAGGGTTGAGGGGGGGGGGGTTGATGCATACGGGAAGATCCTCTACTTTCTCACGAGGGGAGGGGGGGAGGGGGAGCGGAGGGAGATGCATCCAATTCCATACTAGATTTACTGACTATAAGGACAGACTGACAAACGTTACTATAATCAAAATTGCTTTGCTTATAGAACGGAAAAGGCTAGATCAGTAGCAACTTGAGGTGTCATGGCGTCTTTTGATAATTGTTCAGTGAAAATATAACCGTTAAAATCATATTTTCCTAATTTTTGAAAATTGAAGAGACCAAAATGATCGACCTTATTACGTAACTTTTGTGACGTCATCAAAATAACCTCCTGCTTTTTTTTTTCCAAAAATAGAATCAGGCGCCATGACACCTCCTCGAGTTACTACTGATCTAGCCTTTCCCTTTAAAGAACATCCCCAACTTAAACTTCAAAAATGAGATGATTTTTCTTAGCCTTTTCTCATGTAACCTATTGTAACTATGGCTAAGGCACCTGACTGTACATGGTGTCAAATAGGTGTCGAGGTCACAGCACGTTCACTTTATAGGTAAAACATAAACATCTTTTTGTTTGTTTTTATGGCACTATGAGACGACTCTCCGCCCAATTCCCAATGAATTGCTTAGTAACGCACACTAATCCGTCCACTTATTTAGAAAACGATTAGTGATTTCTTATATAGTGAAGCAATTTCTTACCGAACGAGAAAAAGTCCTCTCGTCATTATTGTGGAATTCCATCCCGT